CCCCCCCCCCCCAGCTTTCTCCTGCTTTAAACAGGACATGGCAGTGCCACTTCCCCCACAGGGCTGGGGCAGGTGGGTGACATGCGGGGCACGGGCCAGACGGGTGGCGAGACTAGACGCCCTAGTTCAAGGTGCTGGCTACCGGGCCTTCCCATGTCTGTGTCTGCACCTCCCTGGACAGCCTCAGGTCCCCCACTCTCGGAGTCTCACACCAGACCATCCCCCACCCCTACCTCCCTGACCGCCTGCCCCCGCCCCCTTCTGGGATTTCTCCCCTTCTCTCGACTACAATGTTTTTCTGGGTCCTATGAGTTTTGTCCCCCATTCCCAGCCTTTTCATCAGCACCTGGGCCACACAAGACAGACGCAGAGTAGATCAGTGGTTCTCAACCTGTGGGTCGAGACCCCTTTGGGAGTCGGACGACCCTTTCACAGGGGTCGCCCCATTCATCACAGTAACAAAATGACAGTGATGACGTAGCAAGGAACATGATGTTCTGGTTGGGGGTCACCACCACATGAGGAAGTGTATGAAAGGGTCGAGCATGAGGAAGGTGGAGAACCACTGGGGTGAGGGAGAAGCGGGTATTACAGGGGACGGCAGCTTGGGCCTGTGGAAGCCCCACCACTTACTGTCATAGTTCAGCTTCAGACGCGCCTGGGGCAGTGGGGCTCTCGGCTGCCAGCCTGCGTCAGGCCTGTGGCTATAACCCTCCTCCTCGCTGGTCTGCTCCCCGGAGGCCACGGCCTGGACTCTGCACCCTTCCTGCTGTCCTTGCCCCCCTCCTCCCAAGCCCCACTCTTCACCTGAATCCTTATTTGTGGGAGCAAAATAGCGTGAGAGAAGTATCTGACGGCCGGGTAAAGACCATCCACGGTGGGGCCGGCCAGCCCTGGCCAACCAGGACCAGCGGGGACCGGAAGGCTGAAAAGAATAAGCCGTGTCACACAGCCCCCCTTTATGAAACACACAGTGAACGACGCCCCACAGGTGCCGAGGCGAGAGGGGACAGGCATGGCACAGGCCCGGTGCAAGGCTCCAGGGTGACATCTCCCTCAGGGAGTACAGGAAAGATCTCTCTTCCTCAGCCCCCTCGGGCTGTGCGGCAAGAGGGGTTTTTCCGTGAGGACAGATGTGAGGCCTCACTTGCTTAGTCCCATGTTTGATGTGTAAAATGCACTCCTGTTTGGGGAACCTGCTCTCCCAGCACTTCCATATCCAGCTCTGCTGGCCTGGCCTGCCCCGCCCCAAGGGGCTGCCCCCTGATGACACAGAGCTTGTCCAGTGGACGCAACATTTCTCCAACCAGTCTCCCTCTGCCCCCCTCCGCCCCACCCAGACCACACACTTCACGGCAGGGGACACTGACCCAAGTTGAAGGCCCCAGTGCCTGCTGGGTCAGAATCTCAGGGCGTTTTCCCATCTGCAGAATGTCACCATAGGGCATATGTCAGAACGTGTTTTGGGGGGACCCTGGGCGGGACAAACATCAAGGGACACTTGGTTCTCCCTGAGAGGCCCCACTTTGTCATCTTTCTTTAAAAATAAAAGTGGTGAGTGATGAGTTTAGAAGCCAAGAACATTCCCTCGGAAGGTCTTTCCAGCAGAGAGCCTGACCCTGGACACCGACCACACGGGTCTGGGGGAATTCTCCTCTCCAAACTGCTGAATGGTCCAAGCATAGATTCTTGGCCCGCCACACCCACCTACCCACACACTAGGCACCTGCACACCCGCACACCCCCAGCCCCTCATCCCGCAGGCTCCCATTGCCCCTGGGCCCCAGATCTGGCCTATGCGGGCCCCAGTAGGCCTCCAGGATTCATTTGTGTTCCATGAGTGCCTGCTTTTGTGCCTGCACACTGGCCGGCTCGCCTCTCTGACCAAGAGGAGTGGTGGACAGTGAGGCATGACTCCCCTCCTTCCCTTGAGAATAGCTCCTCCTTTAACTTGGGGAAGTCAGAGCCCCACAGGGCTCCCACCACGGGGCTACCCTCTCCTGGGACCAGGCTCCCTGCTCCTGGCCCCCACAAGCCCCAGCCTGTTTCTGCCCACAGGTTAAGTGCAGTGTCTGGACACCTTGACTCAGCGGCGCCTGGCCGAGCCCGGCGCCTGGCCGAGCCCGGCCTCCGGCCATTCTGAGTAATAACAGCATAACAGCAGTCACTCTAGCGGCTTCTTCCAGTCCTGAGAAGGCCTTCCCTGACCTGCTGCCCCCGCCCCCTCAGCACACACCCACACTCACACCCACCACCCCAGCCCCACTTCTCCTTTGTAGCCCCACTGCCGCCTACACCTTCCTGCCCCGGAGTTGCTGGCCCGTGGGCAGGGGAGGCAGAAGCAGTGGGCCAGAGACCCTCGTGGTCCCCCTGAGTCTGAAACCTGGCTCCCCACCCCCCCTGGTCCTTCACCATGGACTTCTTTCCCTCGAATCCACAACCGTGTCAGCCCTCTGCCGTGGACAGCGGTGTGGCCCTCAATGCTCCGCTGGCCTGTCCATGCTTGGATTCCAGAGTAGCCAGGGTCCCTTCCTTGCCCAGACACCCCCTGGGTTCCTGCTGCCGGGTCTGGGGGCCTGGCACCTGCTTCAGGCTCTCTTGCCCTAAGAACCCCTTGGAGAAGCCGTGGCAGGGCCCTGCCCTGTGGTATCCTTCTACATGCTGTTCGTTCCCTGGGCTAGAAAGTTGGGCTGTCAAAGGTCTACTATTCCTTCTATCTAACCCTCCACCCCCACACGCCCCTGATCAGCTCCCCCGGCCTTTGCTCTCCCAGCCCTGGTGCCTTGGGGGGCTGCTGTGGGCACTGGGGGGCACTTGGTTGCCCAGAGTTGCATACTGGGTCGCTGTGAGCTCTTGAGGCTCCCTACCCACAGCCAACCCTCACCAAGGAAGGCAGCAAGAGCTTGTCTGAGACCCAGAAAGGAATCCTGGTAGTCTAGTGAGTGCTGGGCTGCTAACCAAAGACCAGCAGTTTGAAGTTCCCAGCCCCTCCCAGGGAGAGAGAGAAGGTTTTCTGCTCCTGTAAAGATTGACAGTCTTGGAAACCCATGGGGGCCGTTCACAGGACGCCTGTGAATCGATTCTATGGCAGTGACTTCTGAGTCCCAGATAGGTAGAGAGAGACATAGCAGGGGAACCCAGAGATGGGGGTGGGAGGTGAACAGGCCAGGACACAGGACGTCCGGTGCCCACCTAGGAGGCAGCCCAACTGCTGGGCCCCCGGCCTGTCTGTCCATCTGTGGAGCTGAATGTCCCTTCTGTATAGGATCCGGAGACTGAGCTGTCCCTGGTCCATCGGCTGCCCTCTCCTGCATGTGGTGTGTCCCCTCCACGCTAGCCAGAGGCTCCCACAGGTCTGTCTGACTGGTCCAAGTCCTTCGTGGCTCCCACTGCCTCCAGGTGGGAGTCGAAGAAGCCCCTTGCCCTCTAGCAAGGCACCACCAGCATGAAGCTCCCTGGCCCCTTCGCATGCGGACTTTCCTACTGGGGCCTCCGGGTCAGCCTCCCCCTGCTCAGTCACCACAGGGTCTCCGGCAAAGCCTCCCCTGCCCTTCTCACCATGAGTGCTACTGCCCGCAACCTGGTCCTTCATGAAGGAGCCGCCTCAAAGGGGGGGCACAGGCAGGTGGGCTGGGAGGCAGGAGTGGTGCACACAGGGGAAACAGAGGTCTCTGTTGAGATGGCAGGTCCTGGTCTGACCTGGCACCCCCAGGACAGGCAGAGGAGGAGGTCTGGGTGCCCGCCCTGACTGGGCCCTGGGCTGAGTGGTCCCACCCCAGCAGGCAGGGGGTGGGGCAGGGGCAGGGTGTGCTAGGGGCCCCTCCCGATTTCCTGTCAACTAGGCCAGGTCTGAGCCAGCTGCGTTCCTTCCCTGTCACTCGCTGCACTGCACGATGGCGCGAGGAGGAGCAGGGAGCTTCGGGGGCCGAGAAGGCCCCGCGCCCACCCAGTGCGGTGAGGCCCTGTGCTTCGATTTGCTGGTCCGAGTCTGTGTGGCCTGCAAGCTCTTCCGGACCCCCAAGCCCAGCCCGGGTAAGGGCGGCGGGTCTGACTCTGATCGAGCGATGGACGAT